TCTCTAACGGATTATTTTATATGGAGATAGCTGTCATAACGGTTTTTTAATAATTATTGTAGCACTGCCAAAACTATTTCTGTTCGCCACGAGGGTGATGATGGATTTTTAATATTTGATTTAATAGAAGATTAATTTAAAAAAAAAAGTAGTCTACGAAGGTTTGAGCCTCGCGCGTGTATTACGGATATAGAGGACTGAATTTAACATTTGATAAAAAAAAATGCAATTTTGAAGCTTATTTGGAAGATACCTTGAGTTAGTAGTATGTTTTCTGGCAAATGTTGGGGGTTCGTGAGCATTCCTGACATTGCTGAAAATTATGATAGCATCAGATTGCGGGGTTGCTAGCGTAATAGGATGCTTTGTTGATTGTTCATTAACTCTTGATTGCTTGTAATACTTATGAATATTTTAGGTGGACAAAAAGGTGAACTAAGAGGTGGACGCCTGAGCTTTTCCACATTTATATCGCTGTGAAGCAACTGTAAACTCTAGAGGAAATTTATATCTGTAACTGAAACCAGTTCGATTTTGTTTAACAACCTGGTTAAAATGTCATATTCAATTATCTTAAAGATAAATCGTCCAGCTCAAACCTTTGTAGGGGTAAGAGGTGGGACCATCATCATCATCATCAGCTGTAGGTATGCTGGATTCTGGTCCAAATCAGTAACTGGACACTTCCCCTTGGGCGCCCGTAACATGACCGGTTATGGCCAATGAGGTCCTGTTTTTAAATTCTCATGTTATTTGATGTGTCGCATTATGGGTTTTAAACTGGCCACTTCATGTTTTCCCCCGAAAGAAGCACACAAAGTGGTGATTTAATAACCGTACCCCAAAAAGAATGCAGCCACTCTTGCCTGTACCCATCCTCACAATCCAATAAATGCACAATTTCACAGTGGTCCAGAATGAAAATTTATCCGGAATAGTAGTTCTAGAGCATTTGCTGTTATATTAAGACATTTTGTGTTTTTGGTGAAGTTTTTGTGCTTGAAAAGTCTCTCCTTTTGGTCCATTACCACGCAGTCAAACTTCGTCAGCATCGTCGTGTACAGCCTCCGGGATCGCGCTTTGGCCGTCGTATTTTGTTTATCATCGCGATTTGGAGTCACTACTTTCTTGTAAGTCGATAGTCCGGCTCGTTTTTTGGCTCAATGCACGGTTGTAGACGATACACCCAGCTTATTTGCGGCATCTCGGAGAGAGAGGTTAGGGTTTCGCTTGAAACTACCGGCAACTCTCTTTGTCGTCTCAGCGGCTTCCGGTTTTCGATTTCCCCCCGATCCAGACTTCCTGGCTGTCGACAAACGTTCCCCAAACACTTTAATTACATTTGTAACGGTTGATTTGGCAACTTTTAGCGATTTTGCCAACTTTGCGTGCGAGTAGCTCGGATTTTCGCGATGCGCGAGCAAAATTTTGATACGCTGCTCTTCTTGCTTGGACGGCATTTTGACAACTGAAGAGTGAATTCCAAAATCAAAATAGGAGCAACATTCTACACACACACACCTTCAAAATGAGGGGTGTTCAGGTTTTTAAATGCAAAATTGAAAGAAATACGTCAAGTTGATATTGACCAAATTTTGACCGTATCACCCTTTATATGTTTTCACCTACACAAGCAAGCATTTGCCTTGATTGTTATGTATAACATGGTTGAACGACGCACACACTTGCCTCGATTCTCTCCAGCAGAAAAAGCAAACAAAGTCGAGTATGCCTTGGAATTGAGTGCTTAAGCATGGAGAGAGCAATGGAGAAAGCATAGACCTGAAAATCGCAACGCTCGTGGTTTGAGTCCCCTCTAGTCAGCACTTTTTTTTACATGATTAATTTCACTAACTAAAACACTCCATATTTTTCTTTCTCCATTTTCTTGCATTGGACTGCAGCAGAGATGGCGGATCTACGGAAATCTCCGTAGATCTATGGATTTTACAATTTTTTGCGGATATATGAATCCGTAAGCAAAATCTACGGAATTCGATACAGTTTCTACGGATTTTTTTTTTTGCAGTGTGCGTCTCCCTTTAGAATCGGATTTTACTATCTAGAGTATTATCTGATTCTGAAGGGAAAGAAGCATATAGTAAAAACACCCTGCAACTTGTCAACCGTTTTCTTGCTCACTTATCCACTTTTTGATAGAATTGGCGTTGAAGGCGACTGTATAGCTCTTCCTTCATATGAAATATCCCGTAAGCAAACGTCAGACTGTGGGTGAAACATGGCCGCCTTCGTACTAACTCTTCACTCCGCCGAAAGTTCCCATAATATACTGTCAATATTTGCTTGAAGAGAAAAATTTTCGACGGTGCCGTGTGAAGACGAATAAAAATCGTGTCGAGACCAGTCTTGTAAGCGATCACCGTAGTCGACACATTTTCTGTTATAATCGACTGCCTTTGCTTCCGACACTTGCAACTCAAGCTTTCAAATTACAGTACCAAACTAAAATGTCATACGACAGGCTCTGTCATACGACACTGTCGCCGAAGTCCGTCACGAATGTATGTATTTTAGTTTTTCTCATAATAAGAGCTACTGATGTTGTGCTTGTGTGAATTCTGAAAATAGCAAGCAACGATGTCCTAGTAATAACATTTCTGATCAGAAATGGTTTAATTAACACCACATTGAGGAATGAGAACGAATTTCACATGTGTCATATGAAAGTTATTTGATAATTTTCTTTTTGCTCGAATGTTGTTCTACCGTTGTACCGATGTGTTCATCAAAAAGCACGTAATCCATTAGTCGTCGTACTTGTCCGGCTTTATAAAGGAAACTACGGTAAAAGCGTGTCTTTCTTATTAGATTACGACGGGATCACAATTGATCAGATCGCCATAGGTGGTCTTGAAACCCCTGCAGTGGATCCTCAAATTGAGCTGGAAACCATTGCCGTGGATAATGAGACAGAATTGCTACTTGGGCAACAGGAAACGCTCCTTTGGAATGTGGACACATGTCTGGAGATCACTCTCGCGCAAAACAGGGTTCCTCTGTCATTAATATATGACGAGCAACGGCGAAGAGATAGCTTTTCCTGCCATATGTTTCGGTCATCTACGGAAATTCAAGCCAGGGGTTCGGGTGACATATGTCATGATGGCATCCAGTGAAACTCGTCGTCAAGACAGGCGTGCGGCCAAACCACAACATTTGTTGTATATGACAATGAAAGTTTTTCGCCTTAGAGTTTCCGAAGGCTTGCAATGCACTTTTAAGTGCACGGGGACCTCAAACATTACACGTGTCAACCTTAAGGACCGCCTTATTCATGGAGCAGTGCATTGAGCGAAATCTATCCTTCCTCAAATCAATACCGAATTCAATACAGTATTGGCAACAAAGGAAGAGAAATTTGTTCACCATGATGCGACAATTGTGCAAAGCCTACGATGTTCCTCACACTTGATGAGATGAATTTGCCCCATTTGTTGAATCTCCTACGTCGATTGTCAGAAGGACACAATGGCAATGACTTAACAGATCCTATCCAGGAATTGACTGCACTACTACAAAGAGCAACTCTGGTCAATGATGATCCAGTCACCTTCGACTGAAAAAAATCGTCGGAATCCGTAGATTTGAATAAGTCTACGGAATTGCTTAGAAAAAATCTGGCATCTCTGGACCACAGCTCGATATATCGCATCCTCGGTTCATGCGGTCTCCACTAACATCCTCTGATGATGAATCTCACATAATTGTAAGCGAATCTTACATCCCCCGGTTGGGTGTATTGATTCATTTGAAACTAGCTTTTTTATTTATATAAACATTTATGAAATTAAAGACATATATTGTTCAGCAAAATTGTAGCTGAGCTGATTTCAAGTAACTTTGTGCAAAAAACATTTTTCTCTATCTCTTATAAATATCTCTTTAAAGTTATTTTTCAGAATTAAATTAGGGTGCTCCTGAAAAATGCAGTTCTTAGTTCTAGATCTTTTGTTTCAAATTTCTCGTGAAAGTCGTCGTTTGAGTAAGTTTAGTAAAACGCTCTATTCTCAACTTTTTGTTCCTATTGGACGGATTTTTGTTAAACTTGTGGCACATTTTTTTTATAATGACTTCAAATCAGCTAAATTTCAAAAAGTTTGGATCATTGTATTTCAAGAAAATTTTGATTTTTAAGAAAAAAAAAATGGTTTCTTACAATAGCTCTAACACACTCAACCAAATAAGCCATACACAATACCGTTAATCGATAAATTGGTGCCAACATTTCAGTAGGGCTGCTTTTGCAAGTAATTACTTCAACCGTCGATTTCTCGCATACAAAAGCTTAATCCTGAAAATTAAAGATGCCAGCTGGTAGAGGACACATTCATCTAATTGATGGTGTCATTGCATGTGTAAGCTTTTATTCGCGAGAAAGCCGACGACTTCAGTTTACAAAAGCAGTTTCACCTTTTTCGAATTGTTAATGAACAAATATTTGGTGAACCAACAGCAAAAAATTAAAAAAAAAAATCCATCTTTTTAAATTGTGTTCGTGGAGTAGTTTTTCAAATATTCAAGCACAGCTGTATGCTCAATTTTGAGATACACTGTAGCAAAAAAAATGTGTTTCCCAATTATGCGTTAGCCTGAAAACAAAACAAAATGATTTCTTTGTAAACATTTCTCGTTTCAAGGCCAATAAAGGACAGCAACCTATCAAATTAAGCCTCCAAGAATTTAAAAAGTATATTATTCGTGTGTGGTTCCATTTACGATTGGCGCAATTTTGATGTTCTGACCCTCAATGTCACCATTATCTGCTGCTCGATTTGTAAATTTCCAAACCAAGCGTGCTTTCTCAATTCGGTAGTCATCATCGTAGGTTAGTAACTATGTTCAACCGTTGATGCGTGATAAGCCAAATAGCAACACCCCGAAGATGTGGACAATTTTTTGTCACATTCTGTTGTACAAAAGCGTCACGACAATAAATCATTTTTTTTTTTATTTTGTATTTTCATGTCATCTAATTTCAGAGAGCGATAAGGTCCCTGCGTTTCTACCGAGGAGAAGCCGACAACGAGTCGTCGAAATTTATTTCGGAAGTTGCCAAATTCAAAGAGGTCGGCAACGTCCCGAAAGAGTCAACCAGACGAGTGCAATTACATATTAAAGATTTATGTGAGTTGCACAAACCCATTCCATTTGACTGCGACAGTCTATCTAATGTCCATCATTTCTATTCCAGTGAACAAAGCAACTTTGAAAGGCATTTTAATTTGTGTCATAGTGATGATGTTCCATCCGATGTCCGGATCGGTACCACTGATCACCTTTACCGATAGAATCTTCCGCGACTCAGGTTCGGACCTTCCGCCGGCCACTTGCGCCATGATCGTCGCCGCCATCCAACTGGTGGGATCCTACGTGTCCTCGGTGACGGTGGACAAGGCAGGGCGAAAGGTGCTTCTCGTAACGTCTGCCTTTGGATGTGCCTTTTGCTCCGCCACGATGGGAACCTATTCATTCCTGAACACGAACGGGTTCGACCTGAGTTTCTTCAAATGGATCCCGGTGACCACCCTGTCCGGCCTGGTGTTCATCACTGCCATTGGCATTGGTATAGTTCCATTCATCATCATGCCGGAAATCCTGGAGCCACGCGTGCGTGGCTTCGTCATTACGTGGTGCTTGCTCGAGTTCCACGCAGTCGCATTTTTAGTGGTAAAATTTTTCCCTTCAATCGTGGACAGAATCGGCCTATATCCGGTCATGTGGTTCTTCTCGTGCTGCTGCGTGTTGGCGGCCTTATTTGTGATATTCTACGTGCCAGAGACTAAAGGTAAAAGTTTCGAAGAAATCACGGAATCGCTGGATTCTGAGAAGAAAGCCGTACCAAAGCGAACCTCCATGGATGTTTAAATGTGCTATACCAATCGAGTCAAACAAACAAAACGAAAACAGATAAGTTACAACAAAATGCTGTAAAATATACAATAAAAAAACGGAAACTACGCGCATGACAAGTTCAAATGCTAGGTTTAAATTGTTTTTAAGCTTTAATTTTTATGTGTAAAATTTATTACGTTAATAAATATAAGTCATTTTTATATTAACCTGTGTCGATAATCTGCCTACGTCTGCAGCATCCGAAACCGTCCTTATCGCGTTCCATTTACCCTGAGGATAAACAACAGTTTTGAACGGGTCTCATCTCGGTAAGATAAAGCACATCGTGTCTGCTGTTCCAGTTTGCAATAGCCCAGCTGATGTGCAAGGTGTCTCTCTGAGTGATCTCGACTGTGATAGAGAAGTAATGTTGGTGTGAATTTTTTTTTGTGTTTGTTTCATATCCGGAAGTAGTCGTAGCCAAACGGATTCAAGATGGTACTGGAATTCTTATCAAGGCAATATTGGAAGCAGTTTGTAGCTGTCAATGCTGGTAATGAACGGGAATGTGGTTCTTGATATCGTAATGAAAAGTAAATATGTAGGGTGGATGAGCCAGTTTTTGACAAGGTGTTTGGTTCCGGGTTTTACATATTTCCATGGTTGATAGAGCTTCTAAAGTTATGAAAAAATCCGCATGAAACATAGGGTCAGAAATGACTGCTAAGTGAGTTATTCAACATTTTATGTTTTCTTTTATTGCCAATTTTGGTTAGCTATATTTTTTTAATCATAATGTAGTTTTCTGATTTAGTATACCAAATAAAAGATTTAAGTCTTAACTATCCATGCTCTCTAGAAAAGAGCTCGATTAAAGATAATTATCATACATTAAAATCAGTGGCGTCGCGTCCACATGTGCAACCTGTGCACGACACAGGTGTAAATAATATAAAAAGAAAGGGTTTTGATTTTCATAATTTTTCTGGCCACTGCTGTACTTCCTTACTCCAGACCACCAGCGACCATGAATACACTATTTTTTTAGTGTGGCTCAATTAAATCTTCAACGTTGGTTTGCTTCAAAAAGGATTAAATTCATTTCGGATGGTCTGCCTAATCCCTAATGCATTGATTTCTAGGCATTTCGATATCACTACCATGACAACACTCGTTAAATAGTGCACCTAAAAGCGAGCTTTTTGCGTGGCGGGTGACAAGTTTGTGAATGGTCAAATGCGTGGTGTAAACTATTCTATCATCTTTTGAAACATACCACAAATTTTCCACATGCACCACTAGTTGTAATTGAAACTTTCAGCAATCACGCGTCAAACGGGAGCAACACGGAAACAGCAGTCTGGTACGCTTTGGACGTTTATCATACTTGCAGACCGGTTTGAATGTGTGAGTTTAAATTAGAAAAACTTTTGTGATGTATGGGTCCCTAAAGCGTGCATTTCTAGCTGTGCACTTGGATATCTGATTGCAGGCAAAGAGAGTAATGTAGGAAGAAAGCGCAAAAGTTCCCTCTCACTCTCTTGTCAGTTGTTAATCTCTCATGCGTCGATGCTAGGAGCTTCATCAAAAGTGACACACAAGGAAGAAGTTTTTTTTTTTTTTTTTTTTCTCTGTTCGGGACCTAACACTACTGCGACCAGTAAATTGATCTATTGTAGTATATCCCGTGTCCTTAGTTTAGTGCATGTCGTATTACTCCATCACTATTGAGAAATGATGAAGTATTCGATTTTTTTATAGTTGTCACGCTTGCATTTATCGCAAGGATCCGACTCTAATTGAAAGGTCCCGCTATTTATACCCTTCGGAGTGTTGAAACACCCTCCAAAGGTGCGCCCCTTTGTCAATCAAAATTGGATTCCTTAGCAACAAAATTAAAGTACGACACCGATAATGACCATGCATCAGAACCCTAGTCTTTACCACTTCAAACTAGGGAACAACGAATAGAAGATTAGGAATCACATAGATGAAGACAACTAACTCATTTTTTCCTTCTTTCAAGATCATCCTCGGTAGACAAAGCCGAGTCTTGTCACTATCAACAAGGCATAAAACGTAACAAGGACTAAGATGTGTTCTTTGGATTACTGAAAAATCCTGTTCCTCTAGTTTGAAGTAGTCAGGACTAGGAATCGGTGGTAGATCTTACATCCCGTAACGTACCACGAAAAGGTGATTTACCCACATTACGGGGCAAGGAAGAAGTTTAGTTTGTTTACTAAAATGAACTATGCCCATTTTGTTATGGAAAGTTTTGATATGAGAAATGCTCCTCGTGCATATTAGCAAAATTCACATCAAAGGTTGATTAATTCCGTAGGAAATCAGTTTGGTACGGCATTTGTGACCAGCATACACCTTCCGGTCGTATGAAACAGGTCAAAAACTGTCCAAATCCGCTCATAAACTTTTTTGTTTTCAATTTCTGTATGGCAAAATAGTGAACTTTTCGTGAAAATTAACGGCAAATAACTCACCAACACTAGGCGTCCGTGAGCTCCTGTCCACTTGTGATAAAACCATCTCGGCGCCGGTGTGCCTGTCAAAACTTATGAGCTTCCCCTGGTTTATTCTGATAGTGTTGTTATGATGAATAACGAGTTGATTAATTCAAGTTTGCTACTCAGGGGACTTTATGAATTTTCCCTAGATTTTGACACTGTTTTGTATCAAAAATGCTTCAGAAGTGTTTGACGAATATTCTTCATTACACTTCAGTCGAAAGCCTTGTGATAAAAACGAGAATTATTTAAGTTTTGCAATTTCTCCTACTTCGGTTAGCGCAAAAAGGGCCATACAAGTTTTGTTTACACAAGATGATAGGCCATTCAAATTTTACGTTAGGTGGTGATTAATATAGTAATTGAGAATATATCCTTCGAATTCATGGAGCATTGAAAAATAAAAACAAAAACTAATGTGGCAAGCTATAACGAACAAAGTTTGGTGCACAGATAAACAAATGAGGCACACGACGCCTTTGATTAAAATTGAAAAGTATGTTGAAAGTACAACAAAAAACTGGTGAAATTTCATACATTTAAGAATTTTTAAGTTGAAAATTTTCATAACTGTTAATTTAGTTGTTCTACAAAACATTACACATGCGTTTCCTAGATTTGTTCCTTTGGTAGTAACCTTGTAGGCTTTATGGTTTCTTCGTTTTTCTTTTTAACTCTTTATTTGTGCCAATTCAATATGTTTTAGTCATCCTTTACGTTTAAGTTTTAAATTAGTTTAAACTTTCCCTTGTCCTCCCTCAAAATGATCAATAAACGTAATCCCTAATCTCAAGAAAGCCGCGAGTAATCGCCCCCGTTCTACTAACATTGATTGTAAGAAATGATATTAATGTAAAAAATATTCGACTCCGCAAAGCTAACGCATTTGAGCCCTGACAAATAAATGGATTATAAAAAAAAAATCAAAATAAGTTACATTTCATTTAAACCTAGGTGCTCCAGTTACTACAGTAACTTATGTTATGATATATATATCTATACGTTTTGACATTGCTCCTGCCTTGGCAATTCAGTACTTTAAACAGGTTTGTTAAACCTGCTTGGCAGTATAACAATTGAAATTTTAAAACTAAAGACTAAAACTAAATCTTATCTAGGTATAACGAGAATTAATCGATGCAATGGAGAACTGCAACGATTTTTGCCTAAAATTATTAATTACTTTGTTGGAAATTCAATTCGAAATTCAATGTACTTCGGTAGTACTGTACCAGTGAGGCAACTTCAAAATCACTTTGTTCTGAACCCTTTGAATCCTTTTCCTGGTTGTGCAACAACTAGACCATATTGGCACAGCGTAAAGCATGGCCGGTCTAAAAACTTGTTTAAATATTAGAAGTTAATTCGTCAGGCAAAGTTTGGATTTCCTGTTTATAAGAGGATACAAACATTTTATATATTTGTTACATTTGGCTTGAATGCCCTCAATGTTATCTTTAAAAGTTAATTTTTGGTCAAGTACTAATCCAAGATACTTCACTTGGTTCGACTAGGAAATTGGAACTCCGTTCATAGTGACTATGTGACTACTACTAGGTTTCAAAAACGAAGCTCTAGGCTTATGTGGAAAAATTATAAGTTGAGCTTTGGAGGCGTTGGGAGAAATCTTCCATTTTTGTAAATAAGAAGAGAAAATATCAAAACTTTTCTGCAGTCTGCTGCAAATAACACGAAAGCTTCTTCCTTTAGCGGACATGCCTGTGTCATCAGCGAACAAAGATTTGTGGCAACCCTGAGGCAAATCAGGGAGGTCCAAAGTGAAAATATTATTCAATATAGACCCAAGAATGCTACTCTGAGGAACGCTTGCTCTAACAGGTAGTCGATTAGATTTGGAATTTTGATAATTTACCTGCAGAGTTCTGTCAGTTAAATAATTTTGAACTATTATCATAATATAAAGTGAAAATATTTTTTTTTTCAATTTGGCAATCAAACCTTCATGCCAAACACTGTCGAATGCTTTTTCTATGTCTAGAAGAGCAACTCTAGTTGAGTGGCCCTTAGATTGGTTTGCACGAATTAAATTGGTAACTCTTAAGAGTTGATGAGTAGTTGAATGCCCATGGCGAAATCCAAACTGCTCATCTGCAAAAATTGAGTTCGTATTGATGTGAAGCATCATTCTATTCAAAATTATCTATTCAAAAAGTTTACTTATTGAAGAAAGCAAACTTATTGGACGGTAGCTAGAAACTTCAGCTGGATTTTTATCCGGCTTCAAAATTGGAACAACTTTTGCATTTTTCCATTTATCAGGAAAGTATGCCAAATGGAAACATCTGTTAAATAATTTTACCAAGAAAGACAAGGTACTCTCTGGGAGTTTTTGATGAGGATATAGAAAATTCCATCATCACCTGGAGCTTTCATATTTTGAAACTTTTTAGTTATAGACCTTACTTCGTCCAAATCAGTCCCCCAGGAATCATCAAAAATATTTTTCCGAAAGAAAATATTCAGAAAATCCCAAGCAACCTGATTCTCAATAGGACTAGTAAGACCCAAACTGAAATTATGGGATCTCTCGAATTGCTTAGCAAGTTTCTGAGCTTTTTTCCAAATTTGTGATCAAAATTCTACCACCTTCTATAAGCGCTAGAATAGGCTTTTGAGTTTTTTTCAAAAATTTTGTGAGTTTCCAAAAGGGTTTGGAATTCGAGTCTTATTAAGAAACATTATTTTAAAAAGTTTTGTTCCTCAGGGCAGAGAATCGCTTTTTAATTTGTTTTTGCAAATCCCGCCAGATAACTTTCATGGCAGGATCGCGTATTCTTTGATATTGTCTCCTACGGACATTTTTAAGACGGATCAAGAGCTGAAGATCGTCATCTATTATAATTGAATCGAATTTTACCTCGCATTTTGGTTCTGAGGCAGCTCTTGCTTCAACTATAGAAGTAGTCAGAGATTAGAGAACATAATTAATTTCATCTTTGGTTTGCAAAGGAATGTTTGGATCGAAGTTATATTCCATAAATGTTCGATATTGCTCCCAATCAGCTCTACACACTAAGATTTTGTTTCCGTGTTCGGTAAATTTTACCGAAATCAGAACAGCTGAACGTTCGGTAAAACTTTGACACATGTTCAACCTTGTTTAAATGATCAAATATTTTCATTTTAGTGGATATTTAGCTTCAAAGTAGCTGAAAAGCAATTGAATTGAAATGCATAAATTTTACCGATGTTCAGCTGTTCAGATTTCAGTAAAAATTACCGAAGTCGGCGATAATTTCTAAGTGTGTATGGTTATTGAAAGTAGAGCTGTTGGGATTAGAAATCATTTCTTGGGATCACTCACTTGCTATAAAAAAATGTTTTAGAGAATTCATTCATCAATCATGAGATGGTATAGTGATAGTTAGTACTTATAAGTTAGAAGATGAGAACGTAAAGTATGTGTTTGACACATAATATCTGTCAATATTGCTTTCGGTGCGTCACAATCAGCGATTTTATGACTCGTGAGTGCTCACTCTGAGTGAACGCTCACGAATCATAAGATCGCTAATTGTGTCGCTCTGAAAGCAAAATTGACAGGTTTTATGAGTCAAACACATACTTTAGCCCTCTCCTCGTTACTTACAAGTACAACATATCATTATATCTTATAATGATTGCATAATTCCGAAAAATATGTTTTTATAGCAAGTGAGTAGAAGCAACCCTGCTTGGGATATTTCAAAAGTTACTGGAAGGTGATCAGAACCGAAGTCAGCATGGTTAGTCAATTGGCTTTAGGGGCCTCCCTTAGCTCAGTCGGTAAAGGCGGTAAAGGTAAAGGTAAAGGTAAAGGTAAAAGCAAGACCATGCTGGAGGTGGCTGGGTTCCATTCCCGGTCCGGTCTAGGAATTTTTCGGGTTGGAAAATTTCTCGACTTCCCTGGGCATAGAAGTATGATTGGACTTGCCACACAATTATACCAATGCAAAAATGGTACAGGCATCGAAAGCTCTCAATTAATAACTGTGGAAGTGCATCTAGAACACTAAGTTGAGAGCACGCAATAAGCTAATATGCGATATGCAATAAGCTTGAAATGCGAAGAAGAAGAAGAACAAAGTTGAAATGAATCAGTTGAGATCAAATCAATAGTTGAGGGATTTCTTGCTGAAGAAAAGCATGTTGGGCTGTTTGGATTTGAATAGTGTAACAACCTGCAGAACAATCATCAAACAAAATATTACAATTGGAATTGCTTTGAGCATTATTCCATGAGCGGTGTTTTGCATTAAAATCACCAATAATGAAGAATTTAGACCTATGACGGGTAAGTTTCTGAAGGTCACCCTTGAGAAAATTCTTTTGCTGGCCTACGCATTGGAATGGCAAATAGGCAGCTATAAACGTAAGTTGTCCAAATTTTGTTTCAACCGAAACTCCTAAAGTTTCAAAAACTTTGGTTTCACAAATGAAGAAAGAATTTTATGTTTGATTCGTCTATGAACAATGATGGTAACGCCACCACAAGGTCTATCAAGACGATCATTTCTATAAATGAAATAATTTGCGTCCTTCTTAACCTTATAGTTAGGTTTAAGGAACGTTTCAGTTATAACGGCAATATGCACGTTATCAACTCTTAAAAAGTTAAATAGCTCGTCTTCATTATCTTTAAGAGATCGAGCATTCCAATTTAAAATATTTAATGATTTAAACTCCATTACTGAATTATAAAGTCATTACAATATTGTTTGCAAATTTTACTCCAGTTTGAATAGCATCAAACATGGAGTTAGATTTAAGCATATCAGAAATCATATCGATTAATGATTTCTGTAAAAATTCCATTTTTGGGGCAGTAATGCTTCCTTAGTCAAAATTGTCAAAAATTTCCGTTAGAATTACGTCGGTTAGTATTTTGATTTCTACCCGCTGCAATAGCAACATAGGTAGCTCCATTAACTCGCTGGACATTGTTAGCAGCGAGGGAAGTAGTTATAGATGAAAAATTTGAAGCAGGGGTGATATTTGTACCTACGGGTACGAATGTAGAATTTGTTCCTCGCTGACCGTTGTTAACAGCAGAGTAAGTTGTACCTGTTCGAAAACGTGGAGCATTTCCTACCTGCCGCATAGAATGAGATTGAAGGATTGCTTTGCGAGTCTTACATTCCCAAAAAATTGTATTTGTGGTTTTCACCGCAATTTGAAATCCCGTTGCGTGAATCGCCTGGACGGGATTTCACTTTCATTTTGATTACTTTGAGTGGCACAGCTCCAAGTAGTTTTGCCATTTCATCTTTGATCTGATCCAGGGATTCACCACTGGGCAGTCCTTTCATGACAACCTTGAACACACGTTCAGTTTTGGTGTCGAAAGTAAAAAAATTGTGCTGCTTCTCAGTAAGATACTTAGAAGACATTTAAATCCGTCCAAGGTTTCAGCCAAAACACGGCATTCACCCTGACGTCCAATTTGTAGTGAAAACTTAACTTTCACGAAGTTCAAAAGTTCCATGCGAAGAGCATGGAAATCGGAAGTGGTTATCACAATAGGGGGAATCTTTTCCTTCTTGGCATTAAGCCGGGAAACTTTGCTAGAATTTTCTTGGATGATGGATCATTCTCATCATCCGTGAGCAAATCAAATTGATTACTCAAATTAATTTTATCAGAAGGGGGATCAAGAGTTTACCCCTTTCTTTTGCGTTTAGGCACCATGGCAGCAGTAAATTTTTATCCAAATCGACTTCCAAGCAGATTACTATAAGAATCTGAAGGATCAAAGAGGAATTTTCCAAATCGATATCCAAGAAGGATTACCTCGGGTAGGGTCCAAACAAGGATCGAAGAGGAATAAGAGTTGAACAAGGTAGAACAGGTATGTATAGTTTCTTTGTAATTATTGATTTAAAACAGCCATAATAACTTGTGACGTTTTCTTAAAATGCGCTATGGTCACGTTCGGCTATTGCAGTCAGGGTTGCTTCCACTCACTTGCAGTGCATTACGCACATTAAAATTTGGTAGAATGTTATTGTAAATGTTGAGCTACATTCCTAACTTTCGATTACCGCACATCTCCTGCGCCGAAAGAAAACATAACTGCGGAGATATTTCGCGGTATCTAATATTGCTCAGTCTCAGCAGAACACACAAAGAGTGACACCGAATCGGCGAATTCTGAGAGCGAAAGGGAGGGAAGTAAGCAGTGGTTATAAGTCGGTGTCGATTTTTTACAGGAGTCAGCATTTTTACTGTATTTTTGGATTACTGAAAAACTCGGTTAAAATTCAAAAGACTGTTATTCGTAAAGATTGGATAAAATCGACAAATTTTATTTTTCATCATTACTCGGGCTTACCAGAAGTAAGTGTGTAAATTTTCGTAACACATTTTCTCAACTATGAAATTTCCACAGATTTTTTAAATTTTACTGAAGAGTTCCGAAATTAAAAAAAACTCGGTAAAAATTACTGACTGGATAAGTGTGTACTGATGTATGGTTAGTGAAGAGGCTAGCGTCTGGAGGGTATTCTCGGGCTAGTCAATGCCACCCATCTGCACTTATAATTCAGTGATACATTATTTATTCATTTCTGTTTGATATTTTTACAAAATTTGAAAAACAGAAATGAGCATTGCAGCTTAGTTACCAATTTTCCAATTCAAGCACTTCAGATAACTGTTCAAAGTCCTGGATTTTTTTAACGGAATCATAAACAAAAAACGAAAGTCCACTATGACAAACGCGATGAACATTAATAAGTTTCCGAAACTTTAGTGAACATGTTTGCAACCTTACTATGAATAATAAAGGAACTGATTTTCCAATTTTAAAAATCGAAACTTAATTTTAGGATTTATTCAACAGCTGCAAAATTTCAAAAAAATTATAATGAATTGTTCATTTTGGAGTTAAATGGTTTAAATTTTTTTTATTAATATAATATTGAATGGAGCAGCAAAAACAACCTCGTAGTCCTACGGCAACAATTTCGTTGGTCAACCCACTGAGTAGCATACTTCATTTCAGATGAATGCCTTATATTTAGCAGTGCACATGAACCACTCTGCTAATGTCTTGGCCAACGACGTCGTCGTTTATTGCATTCAATATTGAACACAAATCTGTCGAGAGGGACATGCGCGGTCTGCCTTCAGTCTCTTTAGAAACCGTTCAGCTCAGAAGTCTTAGGTAACATGTTTACACTCCGACGTAGTAAAACTTATGCTTTAAGCACAATGAATAGCGTCAAACAAATTTTTTCTCAAGTTCAACGATGTGGCGGATTGACTACGATTAAAGCTAATTTCACACTGCAAATCTATCCAGCGATATGAACGTTTTAGCGAACCTATATTCCCCGCAGTACCGATGTCAGTTCAAATCCATCTGTGCGGGTATGGTAGAGCAGAAGCAAAACAATCATCCAATTAATTCCCATCAATTAATCGTTTCTTCTTCCTTCGCAAAATCTAGTTCACCTGATAACGATTGCATATGGCGTTACGGTTGGATGGACGGCGCCAATTATTCCGCTTCTTCAGTCCACTGACACTCCTTTCCCAGCGGGACCAATTACCGTGGAGCAAGTGTCCTGGGTAGGTTCGGCATTCTCCATCGGTGGCATGTCAGGGACAATTCTGTACGCCCTAATTCACACATATTTTGGGAAGAAGACGGGACTTCTTATGCTTGCGTTTCCACACCTTGTACGTATTAACAAAATTACACCATCACGTTCTGTTTAGCTGGTGTAAAATCTCCACTAAATTGAACTGTCAGCGCCGATGTCTCTATTATTATTATTTGATCCCAATAGATCCTATGGTGCCTGCTGTGGGTGGGCGACAGTGTTTACTACATCTACGCAGCGAGATACTTGGGCGGCCTCACCGGTGGAGGACTGTTCGCCATCGTCCCGCTGTACGTTGCCGACATCGCCGATAGAACGTGAGTATAGGCGGATGGGCGGTGCAATTTCACCCTCGATTTATTGTTTTTTCATCTCGTTTGCTCTTTTGCCGGGATTTTACAGGATTCGAGGGTCGCTCGGTTCGTTAACGATTCTGCACATAAACTTTGGTCTGTTAGCATCGTATACCGCTGGGAACTACCTTCCGTACTACCTCATACCGAAAATTATGCTCTGCCTGCCGATTGCCTTCCTTGCACTTGTTTGTTTACTGCCGGAAACTCCATTCTGTTTGCTGCGGGAAGGGAAAATTGTTGAGGCGGAAAAATCACTCATGTTCTATCGCAACATACCGGACGTGACGCGCAAAACACTAGCCTTCGAGTATGAGTTCGAAAGCATGAAAGCATTTGCGCTATCCGAGAATAGCAAGGAAAAACTGACATTGGCAGATTTCAGTAAGTGCACTTTCAACTTGAACGTGATAGAGAAACTTTTACCACTTAACTTATTACCTTTACAGCAACACCAGTAGCCATCAGGGGGCTTTTCATTGCCATCTTCGTGATGGCTTTGAACCAATTCAGTGGCATCTTTGCCATTCTGACCTACGCTGGAAATATCCTGGAAGAATGTGGTACCAGTCTCGATCCAAAATACGTACTCATTCTGATGGCCTTAATTAACATCTGCGGAAACATCACTTCGTTCTTAATCGTTGATATGGCTGGCAGAAAGGTAATTACATTAACTAGCTCAAATTGAACCAGATATGCCAATTATATACGATCATTTCGCCAGACTTTCCTGCTCATATCAACCATTGGAGTCGGAATATCCTTAGGCATACTAGGACTCCATTCGTACTTTTCTTACAATGACGACGATATCGAGAGCTACTCCTGGGTTCCGGTTCTGGCTCTACTGGCCACCATCTATTCTGCCGGTCTGGGCATCACAAATATGATTGGATTCATCGTACCGGAAGTTCTCCCTCCCAAGGTACGACTTATACTTATACACTAGACTGATGCAAAATATGAAATTTTCGCTCCACAGTGCTCAAACGGTTCCAAATTGGGCCCTGATTAGCCTCCCAAAATTTGAACTCATTTAGTGAGAAACTGACTTGGCACAAACCATTTGAAGTTTATATGGGAATTACTATGGAGAAACCATAATTTCGGTTCATATCGATCTCAAAATTCACCAATTCACTCTACTTTAGAAAATGATAGCTGAGCTTGTTGAAAATTTTCTCAGCTACAACTTTGTTCAAGACCACTTTTCGATCAAATGTAAGGAACAAAAATTATTAAGGATTCAAGTCACTGATTTCTTATGATTATGCTCAATCAACTGTTCAGCAGGCAACATTGGTGTTTATTGCGCGTAGAATAGAGGACAAAAATCATGGCTACTATGTCACACTTCAGTGTTGCCCACAATACAGTTGCTTAATTTTGCCATAAGATTATCAATCTCTTAAACAATTAATAACAATTTAATTTGACGTTTGGCTGAAAAACGATTTTCTGCAAAGTTGTAGCTGATAAAAATTCTATTCTTATGGGAATTAATAATATAATTTGTTAACAGAACAATATGTAAAAAGGCTAGAAGACTGTGAACAAAAAGTTTTGTTTTCCCATAGTAATTTCCATAGAAACTTCAAATGGTTTGTACCAAGTCAGTTTCTTATCAAATGAGTTTAAACTTTCGGAGGCTAATCAGGACCCGATTTGAAACCGTTTGAACACTGTGGAGCGAAAATTTCAAATTTTGCATCAGTCTATTATACACGTTAACAGTCAAAACCGAGGATGATTGACTTACGTTGCTCTTTTGATTGGTTGCAGATTCGCAGCATTGGCAGTACCATAAGCGTCGTATTGCTGTGCTTCTTCGCTTTCATCATACTGAAGGCATTCCCCATTCTGCTTGAGAGGATACACATTTACGGAACCGTTTGGATTGCCTCCGGCGTGTGTGCTGTTTCGTTACTGATAATAGTATTCATAATGCCGGAGACCAAAGGCAAGAGTTTGGTTGAAGAAGATTCCAAGGAAAAACCTAGGACCGGCGTCTATTAGAATGCAAATTGGCAGCGATGTGATGAAAATATGGAAAATAAACGTACTTTATGTAAATATGTTGATCAAAATATTTCCAGTAAAAACACAAGATAAGCTGATAAAAAAAAGTGTGCTTATGAACAGGCTTGCTTCTACTCACTTGCTATAAAAACATAATTTTCTGAATTTTTAAATCATTAGATGTTATAATCATATTTATTACTTGTTAGATACAAGAAGAGGTTGAAAGGCAAGTGTTTGACACATAAAACCTGTCAAATTTTCTTTCAGATAGTCACAATCAGCGATTTTACGACTCGCGAGCGCTCACCCTGAGTGAACGCTCACGAATCATAAGATCGCTAACAGGTTTTATAAGTCAAACACTTGCCTTTCAACTTCTTCTTGTATCTTACAAGTACAAAATATCATTATAATATCTAATGATTTCAAAATACAGGAAATTATTTTTTATAGCAAGTGAGTGGAAGCAACCCTGCTTATGAAGGCATTCCGGATGGTAGTTTAGAATTTTAACATAATACGTATTTATAGTATAGCGATGAGGTGCACAGAGTGGAAATGCTGTTTTGGAATTCAAAGCATCGACTTCCGGTTTCCAAAAATGTTTTAATTGCCACCATATGGGTATTTAAGGAACTGTGTGTTGACGAGTTTCAAATATTTTGAAATCAAAGCTGCAACTTTAGATTATCAAAAAGCAACTTTATTCCCTTGTTTGCTCTGATCTGAGTAATTTACTTATTAAAAGCTATATAATCGTTGACCGTCTTTCTGATTCGAAAGCTGAAGTTTGATCCAGTGTTATGTTCCTAAAATTTGAGTTGAGTAGTCGCACCCAATATTAACATGCGCCCTTAAAATATAATTCTGCCTAAAATAACGATACATCCACCCCTGACGTTGATGACGTTGATTCAAATAGTGTATTATCTAGGTTATATGGTACGTTTGCACTTTATCACTGCACCGTACTCTACAGGTGGCGAATGTGGCATATGGCTCTAATGTTCCTTGAACATCTACCTTCTTGAAATTATGATTAATTTCCAAAATTTCCGCAAACTTCTTCCATGCACCAATAATTTTCATTTTTCATTTATCTCATTTCATACTAAACTTTCTCCAAAGTTCAGGTTAAACCTTGAACAATTTCTAAAAAATTTCATAAACAATCGTGGGAAAAACAAAGATTCCAGAACTACATTTCCTACATTAGGATTTGTCATGCAGGATTTTTATTTCAGATGCTATGCTAGAACTAGAAGTGCTGCTTGATAAGACAACAAAACAGTTACGTAAACGCCACGAAAAACACAAATGAAAGTCAGCTGGTGCGTTCTGCCCAGGGGGTGCGTTGTATACCTTTGTCCTTACTTTTCGACGAGTAACGAACATTTTAGTCGCGGAGCACTTAATTTCACATTACATATTTGTTTACGTCTCATCCGTCATGACATGTTTGTTTACGTCTTATCCTTTATGATAGATTCCGTCACGTGTAAGATTAGGTATTTCTAAGTGTGTAGATTAATGCAAATGCATGGGATGTACCATCCATGTCGCGACTTTTTCATACAAGAACCTTACTTTCGTAAAAGAAACTTTTATCAAGGATATCTCGTGTTGGGTAAAAGTGGAATGAAAAAAATCCTCGAGCGTGTGAGCGTGTCAATAACGCAATCATATTTAAATCCGGCGACTGTGCTGGCCATGGCAGGTGTGTATAGTCCTCGTCGTGTTCCGCACTACAAGTTCCCCCCAGGGCATTCCAGTCAATGTGGTCATCCCAGAAAAGGTAAATGTGGTCAATGATCCACTTCAATTATATAAATAACATATTTATGAAAATCCCTGAAGAAAGAGCTGTCGCACGGCATGTTTTTGAGCAAAAACGCAATTGTTCCCTACTACAGGTTCCCCCCGGGGGTATCCCGTGATTCCAAGAGCTGCCAATGTGGTCACTGATCCATTTGAAGTTTAATGAATGCCTATTCATGAAAAAACCATGAAGAATGAGCTGTCGCACGGCATGCTTTGGTCTTAAAATGCAATTGTCCTCTGCTCCAGGTTCCCCCGGGGGCATACCGGAGGTCCCGAGAGCGGCCAATGTGGTCACTAATCCATTTAAAGTCTATCAAAAAACCTATTAATGAAAAAGCTTGCAGAAAAAGCTGTCGCACGACATGTATTGGTGTAAAAAAAACGCAATTGACCCCTGCTACAGGATCCATCGGGGGTATCCCGTGATTCCAAGAGCGGCCAATGTGGTCAATGATTCATTTGAAGTTTATGGAAAGCCTATTCTTGAAAACCATAAAGAATGAGCTGTCGCACGGCATGTTTTAGTGTAAAAATGCAATTGTCCCCTGCTCCAGGTTCCCCCGGGGGCATACTGGATGTTCCGAGAGTGGCCAATGTGGTCAATGATGCATTTCAAGTTTATCGAAATTCTATTGACGAGAAACCATGAAGAAAGAGCTGTCGCACGGCATGTTTTGAGTGATTAAATGATCTGCCCGCATTCAGAGCCCTCCACCAGAACCGATTCCAGAGAAATGGCCATATCTCAGTTGATTATATGCCGATTTTAGTTCTTTGCATATGATTCGCTTAAAAAATGGTTCTTCTTTTGTTGTATTTACTAAAAATATATATATTTAACCAGCATCATACATAAAATTTCACCAAAAATTTGGCAAGTTAGACAAGCCCTCCGGAAACCCGGAATATCTCCGGTATCCGGTGATCAGGAAAATTTTCGTGGATACAACGTAAAACAATATTAGTTTTCCAGTGAAATGATCTTAGAAGATTTAAAATCGGATCATATTTGACGAAGTTACAACACTCCAAAGTTGACCAAAAATTTGCCTATCCTAGTTATTTTGAGTAACCCCTGTATGGTGCGTGTGTGTATGTGTGTGCGTATTGGTGTACTTTGAAAAAGGCATTGTGAAGCTTGCTACAGTATACACCGCAGATTATATAACTTAGAAACGGATATTTTCCAAAGAACACTTTTCTTGTTATTCCTAATTTCAACATCTTTCGCAAAAAATCGCAAAGCACATTAAAACCTATCTGAAAGCTAAGTTTTCTAGCTATCTTTTGGTTGCTAAAGGATAGTGGGCGGAGGTGTCCGTCATATGTTTTGTTTAGTCTAAATGTGAAAAAAGTATATTTTTGCTAATTTTTTATAAGAAACTGTAACTTAAAACAAAGCAGGCACTCTTTTTTACCTCCATTTGACGTGAAATAAGCCGAGGAACATTTCTTCTGAAGCAACCAAGTTGATAAACACATTATTTTTTGCTATATGTATTTGAGCAAAACAGTAACAAGAAACATTACGATTTTTTTTCAAAATTTTGTGATATTGCTACACTATAACAACCATAAAAACATATGCAATCAACAGAACTACACTAATCATTCAATTTAAGATACTCTAAACATGTAAAAATGATTAAAAATATTGAAATTAAAAAATATCAACTTTAATTTTTAAGGTTTTGGCCAGCCAGGAACCACTGTGCATTGGTCAGTTTCGGGCATTTCCAGACTCAAATTAAAACCCATCATGCCAAATAATGAATTTTGATTACATCATATCGATTAAATTCCAATATATAAGGAAAACAATGCAACATCAGTAACACGTGTCATACAAAATGTATTCTTGGTTTGCTTTCAACGTCCAGATGAAGTGAAATAAAAACATATTTTCTGATGAGAAAAAGGTGTGCCACCAACAATGGCTGACCTTATTGTTTACGTACGGTGGAGACATCTACAATTTGTAAGTGGGTACGTAGAACTAAGGTTTTCTGTCTAGATACTCGGGGGGTGGTCTGTACCAACATTATCAGCGGCAGGAAAATACACTGAAACCTCCGTTTTCGAAGTCTTTTTTTACGCAGTATTCAATTTACGTCCCTCTTTTTACGAAGTGAATCCCAAATAACGAGGTTTTTTTTACGAAGTAAATCCCAAATAACGAGTTTTCTTTTTACGAAGTAAATTCCAAATAACGAGTTTTTTTGTGATTTTGGGAAACTGGGATATACTGTGAAATAACCCACAATATGGGTCTTGTTGGAATCGGAGTGACGTGTAGGGACCGGAAATCGATGTGTGACGCCATTTTGAAATCCAAGATGGCGGCTTCCGGTTACAGCAAAAAATGGAAATTCTGTCAAATACCCCACAAAACGGGTATTTTTGGAATCGGAGTGACGTGTGGGGACCGGAAATCGGTGTCTGACACCATTTGTAAATCCAAGATGGTGACTTCCGGTTACATAAAAACATGGAACTTCTACCAAATACCGCACAATGGGTATTTTTGGAATCGGAGTGATGTGTAGAGACTGAAAATCAATGTCTGATGCCATTTTTAAATCCAATATGGCGACTTCCGGTTACATAAAACCATGGAAATTCTGCCAAATACCCCACATTATGGGTATTTTTGGAATCGGAGTGATGTTTAGGGACCGGAAATCGATGTCTAACGCCATTTTTGAAATCCAAGATGGCGGCTTTCGGTAACAGAAAAGCTTGGAAATTCTGTCATACACCCCACAATATGGATATTTTTGGAATTGGAGTGACGTGTAAGAACCGGAAATTTATGTCTGACGCCATTTTGAATTCCAAGATGGTGTTCCAGATGAGGTTCCAGTGTAGCAGGTTTGACATAACCTCAAAACAACTGGAACATCTCCAGTATTTGGTATCCACTGCAAGTTTTTAGTCCAATATACAAAATTTTAGTACACTCAGGTCTTTTTTTACACGGGGATACGGTCCGTGTAAAAAAAAACCTACGAGATTTTGATTTTTCGCATGCTTAAATGTTTAAAAAAAATCGGATTTTGATGCCATTTGTAATTAAAGCATGATATGGTCCATATAGACATATTTTAAAAATTTCTGTATTTACACCATAAATTGTGATTTTTTTTTTAAGTATGCCATTCGATTACAAATAGCTTGAAACGGATAATGTGATTGGAATCAAGTCGATAGGTTGTATCGTTGTCGAGAAATCGTTAAAAACGTACCGTGTAAATCGTGGAAAACCGTGTAAAAAAAAACCGTGTAAAAAAAGACTTCAGTGTACTCTTATTTGTTTTAATTAGAGGAAAACGTGCTTAAAACCAAGTGCAAACCATGGAAATTTTCTTCCGGTAGTGTTAGAGTCACTGAATGATTTTTACCATACTTGATCAATAAAAAGTTGATGCTACGTGCCCTTATCTAAATTACGGAGACAGTTGAGAAAGACAAGGACAGGGTTGAGAAAAATGTTGGGTTCAAAAAGGGATCTACGTAATCATATTTTTTTTTCTCAGGTTTTTACTATCTTTTACACTGATTTGATAAAGCTTATTGTACTTGGGCTACATGATATCAGAGTTGGTAAAAAAAAAATTATAAAATCAATGGAGAGGGGTTTAGTATTACTTCCAGTGACCCACGGAGGCAGGAAAGGAATAAATATAAATTAATTAATTATATTTTTCCTGGGTATTAAAACCCGTACACAAATCTTACAGTGTTCTGTAAATTAATGCCTTGCCAAAATAAGTATCATACATTTTCTGGTGAAACTAGATTTTTTCCTTTAGTTTCGGGAATAATTATGGCTATAACTAAAACTCCTATGTAACAAGTGGTGGCAAAAATAGCTGCAGCTCCGTGCAGTTGAATCTCCTGCAGCATGATTGGCAGAATCTGAAATAATTGAACCCACATGAATCCGAGTAGATTGTAAAAAAAAAGAAGCAGCGAAAATAAATACCTTCAGCACAACGAATGAGAATATAGAAATCGAAATCATACTGATGGCGTTTCCAGCGTTACAAATCTATATAAAGTGTCAATTAAACGTTTTAATTAAACGAGCAAAAACACGCTTACCTTTGGTGGTAGTATTTCCGGTAGCACGAAAAACGGAATGTTACACAATCCAACACAGAACAGAAACACTGTAACCGAAAGACTGACGATCGGAATCCAGCCATATCCTGTTAGATCGAAATTGTGTGCTCTCAACCATGAAAATGTTCCCAAACAGCTCAGCCCCATTCCTGTTCCGAAGGTGGACAACAGCAGCAGCACTTTTCTACCAGCTAAATCAATGAAAATAAAAGATGCTATCGTTCCAACTATTTGTATCGCCGCAATGATGATGGCCGATGTTCCGGGGCTCAACTCGGAGCCCGATTCTTGGAAGATTGACACAGCATAGGTAAGGATGGCGAAGATGCCGCTGAATTGATTTAGAAACATCAGAAATATTCCAATGAAAATACCTTTCTTGGCTTGCGGTGACGCTGAAAAGCCAAATTTTGAAAGTATTTGTCCAATTGAGCACTGCAAGAAACTAACTTACTGAAGTCACTGAACTGTAGTTTGTTGTTTTCAGCCCTACTGTTGAGCACGAAATTTTGCAATTTTTCAAATTCACGCTTGAGATCGCATGCTTCGTTGTCCATGCCTTTGTAGAACCTGAGAGATCGTTCGGCCTCATCGACCTTTCTTTTCCGGAGTAAGGTTTGTGGAGTTTCCGGTATAAAGCACATTAGAATTCCGAACAAAATTGGCACCGACATCATCACCACCGGTACAGTCCTGTATGATAGAAAATCTCCTAAGATGTACATAACGAGAATGCCTGAATTTCCAAAAAGCCCTAAACAAGAACCTAAAATTCCACGAATTCTAAAAAAATAAAATAAACGACATTGAATGCAACAGTGAACGTAATCGCCTTACATGAAGTAATGATTGAATACATACCTGGTATCTGAAATATCCGCAATGAATAGAGGAAATGTTACCATGATTCCTCCGCCTGTAACTCCTGCCAAAAATCGAGCAACATATAGGTGGTAAACGGATGTCCCAAAATAGACTATTACCCAGAAGCACTGAATAAAAACGAAAAAAAAATTAGCAACGATTTCTCCATAAATTGCGAACCAGATTACGATGTTAGGAATGATGATGCATGAGATGCACCTTTTCACACCGAGCCTGTCGGTGAAACATCCATAAACGATAGAACCGACCAGACCTCCCAGACACAGTATTGATCCGATCCACGAGCTTTGCTCCACTGTTACGGGACCCGTATTCAGTGGAGAGTCATCCGATTGCAGTAGCGGTAGGAAAGGTGAAACCCAACCGAGCGTTGCGCCATGGGCAAAATTGATAAGGTTAACTAGGAAATCAACAATATTTGTGGACACCAAAATTCATCTGAAAAAAGCATGAACTCACTTGTACAAACTGAGAACACTTGGCTGACAACACCATTCGAAAGATCAAATTTTCCACTCATTCTGAAAGAAAGATCGCCCGCACGTCCAGCCACAGTAACAAATGCATTTCAACTTGAAAGTCACAGGAAGACATCATACTAGAGGCGTATATCACCGTGTTTGCAAAGCATGTAAATCAATGGCCAATCCCACGTAGATTGCTTCCGTTGCCGCACAGCTTAGCTAGAATCAGCTGATGGTAGGATGGATTTCATATGATATCTTTCATATATGAACAAACTAAGCTTCATTTGCCATTTCAGAGTACGTGCACGTCGGCTTCATGCTGCAACAAAAAAGGGGTGTTTTATTTTAATTTAGTGATCCACGTATTATAAATAACCAATTGGTAGTATTAATGATATGGGAATTTGAGGCCCACGATAAATACAGCTTATTTTTTTATCAATTTTTTGTTTTCGTTTTCCCAAGTGCATATGACCCTTCAAAAAGAGTGTTGCGAAAGAGAGTAGGGAATCCGCTATACTAGAGAGTGTCCAGGATAAGAGAGGAGCAGACTGGCTGATTTTGAGACCAACTAACTTTCAAAACCTATCTTGTAGTGTATGGGCACATTGGCAGAAATCGCCTAAATCGAAATATTGATGATATTGAATTGAAAACGACTCATATCAGGCGTGACATTTGATAACGGCACAAAAGCTTTTGTAAACAAAATTTTGTAAGGCCTCTTACACGCGAACCGAAGAACGCCCACGTAAACCAACAACATCATCGGTTGGGGGACATTTGCAGAAACATTTCGGCAAATTCTAGCTGTAATTCAAATAAACTTTACTTGACCTGAAACTCCAAATATTTGGAATCTGAAAAGAAATATCTCAAAAAAAAAAATCCACGAATCCAGAAACCCAAAACTACTTCAAACCTAACATATCATATTATCACAAGATTTAACACAAATACTCCATAAAAATAACAGTAGGTTCGAACTTGTAGTTGGGCGCCAATTCTATGGTGGCCACTAAACCAAAGATGAATACTAAGATGAAACTGTCGGAAGAAAAACTTTCTATTTTAGTGTCCTCTTTCGCGGTCCCTTTCATCCAATGAATGCCCCCCGTATTAAAGGTAATTTTGTGGTTTTGCTGCCCCCTCGGTAGAGATGAAATTTTGCGCTCTTTTTTATCAAAACAATCACACAAAAATCGGAGATGTCCCATTTTTTAATTAGTCGATTAACAACTAATCGATTATTTTTTGTTCGCTGTGCTGCCATTTTCCCACCAATGAGAGTGCAGCACATGTTTGAAACGATCGGTGATGATCCTCTGGAGATGTTAATGCTTATATCGGCATGATATACACACTTAATCTAGCTCGGTAAAATCTCCAACAGCCGATTACCTCGGCATTTACTTTTGCTGATATCTCTGCAAAATATCTATTTGTTAGCTGATATCTCAGCTAAATATTATTTGTTAGCTGAGTCTCGGCAATTGTTTTACTGAATCTCAGCAAAATAAATTGCAGAACTACTCGGCTGTTGGAATCTCGGCGAAAAAATTTAAGTGTGTAACCGATTACAAATATGTTACTTTTCGGTTCGTTAATCGATTAAACGATTATTCACATGAAAATCGGTCATCACTAGATGAAAGCGAAAAGTCATTTCAGATATAAGGACCGTACATAAATAATGATAAAATTTGAAAGGGACTGGGGCTAATGACAAATTACGTCCCCACGGTAACTGAAATAAACACGAGTGTTCACCGGTTGACTAAACCAGCAAGGAAGGCCAGGTCAACGAGGATGTAGTACCATAGACACGAAGATGACTATAGTAGTGGCGAAGAAACATCACCAGAAGTGGAGGTTCCCAACCCATAGGGTTTTGAAAGACCTCATAGAGGGGACAGAGTTCAATACGATCGGAAAATGGAGAAATGGAATCTCTATTTTGCACGATCCATTTCGTTAGAAGATTTCATTTTCGAGGTAAAGGTATTGGCAAGTATGAATGGAATACCCAACAACCATTTGCTTAGTAACAGTCATGTATTGTTGAGGGGTGAAGCTTCTAATTGGTTCTTCACCTATTATCACCCCACATGGACATGGGAAACGTTTGAAGCAAGCATCCGGTTCCGATTCGGTAACCCGAATCAAGATCAGGGAAACCGCCAACGGATTTATGACCGGAAACAACAAAAAGGAGAAACGTTCATTGCCTTTGTCACGGAAATAGAGCGACTAAACAAGCTACTAACAAAGCCAATCTCGAACCGAAGAAAATTTGGTGGGAAAATATGCGGCAGCATTACCGCTCTAAACTTGCATGTTTCACCATTGGAAACCTTGAAGAACTGATTCAGGTTAACTATCGGATCGATGCCAACGACCCATCATTGCATCCAGTGGGACCGAAATTTTCGGTACAGAACTTGGAAGGGAATGAAGAGGAGGAATCAAACGACGAAGAGGTCAACGCGATTGGCAGAAAACCGATGAGGAACCAAAACCAAGGATCGACACAAGACAGAGCAGACCACACCATCAGAGGAGAGGACCGTCAGGAGGCGACGAGGGTACCACTTTGTTGGAATTGTAGACAGAATGGTCATTTTTGACCCTTTGGTCAACGGGTAGACGGGTACCACAGAACCAGACTGGTTCGGGATGCGGTAAAGGGAACGCTAGCATACCAAACAATCAGACCGTTCCCACGCCAGCTTCGAATTCTTTCATCGATCCCCTAGAAAGTTTACTAGAAATTAGAATCCAGACAAACCATTGCCCACACATCACGGTGCAAATTTTTGATAACGAGAACGAAGCGTTGCTAGATTCAGGAGCTAGCATCAGCGTGACAAATTCTAAAGATTTAGTTGAACAACATGGGTTGAACATTTTGTCGTCCCCTATACGAATTTGTACGGCAGACAAGACTCAATATTCGTGTCTTGGCTATGTAAATCTACCTATAACCTTCCGGGGAATAACTAGAGTAGTTTCTGTGGTCATAGTACCCGAAATTACAAGAAATTTGATCTTAGGCATAAATTTTTTGAAAGCCTTTGAAATAAAACCTATGATGCAGGGCGCAACTGGGTTAGAGGAGATTGCAGAGATTGATACAGTGGAACAGTTGTCAGCAACTGAATTGTTCCACTTTTTCATCCACCCTATCGAGACGTTACCGGTATTTGGAAATACGACCCCAGACGAGTCGTTAGACATCCCGGAACTGGACTTACCGGAGTCTTCGACAACGACACCAGAAACCGTAGAAGTCGAGCACAACTTAACCGAAGAAGAGCGACAAGAGTTAGAGGAGATCATCCGTCTTGGTCGAACAACTCTATTGGAGCATGAAATTGTCCTGCGAGAAGATGCAAAACCTAGGCGACAACCTGTCTACAAATGTTCACCAGCAATTCAGGCGGAGATGGATCGCGAAATTGAGCGATAGAAGAAGGTAGACGCCATTGAAGAATGTTCGAGTGAATGGGCAAACCCTCTAGTACCGGTTCGTAAAGCAAACGGTAAACTAAGAGTGTGTTTGGATTCGCGAAGGATAAATGCGATGACGAAGAAGGACTCGTATCCCATGCGGGATTTGAGAGGCATCTTTCACCGTCTAGAAAGTGCAAAGTTCTTTTCAGTAATAGACCCAAAAGATGCGTATTTCCAGATTCCTCTAAAGGAAGAATCTCGTGATTAAACGGCATTCAGAACCTCGAAAGGACCCTACAGGTTAAGGTTAACGAATGCGCCATTCAGTATGTGTAGACTGATGGACAAGGTAATAGGATTCGATTTAGAGCCCTGTGTTTTTGTCTTTTTAGACGACATAGTCGTGGCTACCAATACGCTAGCAGAGTACTTCAGACTATTCAGACTTGTAGCAGAAAGGTTACGGAAAGCGAACTTAACTATAACGTTGGATAAGTCGCGATTCGGTCGCAAACAAGTTAGCTACTTAGGCTACCTATTGACTGAGAAAGGTGTGGCTATTGACAGCGCCAGGATTGAGCCCATTTTAAACTACAGCAGACCTAAAAGTGTGAAGGACATACGCCGGCTTTTGGGGTTAGCAGGATTTTATCAAAAGTTTATTAAAAACTATAGTAAAATCGCTGCCCCGATATCAGACCTTTTGAAGAAAAATCCAAAGAAATTCGTGTGGACTGAAGCAGCAGAGAAGGCCTTCCAGTACCTAAAATCAGCGTTAATATCGGCACCGATACTCGTAAACCCCGATTTATCACAACCATTCGTCATTGAGTCTGATGCATCCGACAATGCAGTTGGTGCAACATTGGTTCAAAAGATTGAAGGAGGAACACGAGTGGTTGCATATTCTAGTAAAAAGCTAAGTAGCACTCAGCGCAAATACGCGAGCGTGGATAAAGAATGTTTGGGGGTGTTACTAGTCATCGAAAATTTTCGCCACTTTGTGGAAGGCACAAAGTTTAAGGTTGTAACAGATGCAAGAAGCTTGTTTTGTCAGTTTACAATTGGGATCGAATCCGGAAATTCCAAATTGCTGAGATGGGCACTTAAACTCCAATCCTATGACATCGAGTTGGAGTATAGGAAAGGGAAACTCAACATAACCGCGGATTGCTTATCACGATCCTTGGATGCCATATCCAGCTCCTGTCAACCCTGACTACGAAGACCTTGCAAAACCACGGGGGGAAACACTTTCCGATAATTATATTGGTTTGCGTGGGCGTACTTCGGTTCTCGTGTAAAGGACCTTACAACGTTTGTTTACAAAAATTTTTGTGCCGTTATCCAATGTTACGCCTGATATGTTCATTCAAATTTACCAAACTTTCATGTCAAAAGTTTATTTGGAATCAAAAATAGACCGATTTAATTTCAAATCGATCACGTTTTTCATTTGACTGTGGTACAATTAATTTTGAAAGTTTCAAATTTTAAAAATAGGGACGGATAACTTTTGCATTGACAGTTCGATGTATTTAGTTTTGAAATTTGAAGACTTTCTACCAAAAAGAACCAATGCATGCTGTTAATTTTACCATTGGATTGTTTTCTTAATTTTAATAA